TTTAAGTTACAACTGTCTGTTGTCTCCGGGACATTGATGTATTTTTGTTTCTGTGTTTAATTGATGATTGTATATCCTGTAGATATAGTTAAGAGAATGGAAGCATGTGTACCAATCTCTATTCATGCAGCTTAGTTTAGGGTGGGTTTGGCTAATGATGACAGCGGTCTGTTACTGATCAGGTGGTATAGGTTCTTGCCCAGTGGAAGGAGCTGCAGAGGGTATGGTTGTGGCTGGGCTGTACAGGCACAGTTGCTAGAGAAAGCAACCCCCAACCCCCACCACACTCAACAAAACAGAATAAACAAATAATTAGCAATGAAAAGAGAACATAACAAAGGAACAAAAAGAAATAAAAATAGGCAGCAACCAGAAAAAATAATAACTAAAAAGAGAACAGAAGGACAGCAAAATGGAGGTATAGAAGAGAAACATAAAACGAAGAAATTTAAAACAAAACAAAAGAAAAACCGAAAAATCAGGAGGGAGGTAAGGTGAAAAGAGACAGTAGAGAATACTAAAGAAAGATCAAAAGAAAAAAGAAGAAGAGGGGAAATGAGAAACAGAAATAATTAAGCACAAAAGCAGAGAAAGAAAGGATATAACTCAAGGAAAGGGAAAGGGAAGAAAGAACAAAGAAAAACAAATAACAAAAGGAAAAAAAAAAACCACATAAGACATAAACAAAAAAAAACAGTGTAGCTGTTGAACCCAGAAAGGAGAAAACAATGAGGGGATCTTTCCAGTCAAGGAGCTCACAAGTTGTGTGCAGGATGGATGTAATAGCACAATTCCTGACCCTAGATGGACTTCCTACAAGCCAGGTAGTTATCTATGTTCAGGTCAATCTGGAAGTAGCTCATTGAGGTACTTGATGGGAGCTGGTTTCAATGTCTGTTAGGACAACAGAGTAATTTTAAGGCAGGGTGGCTGATTATGAGGGTTTCTGCTAGACTATCAACAAAACCATATTTCTCAACTTTTGCTTTCCAATCACCAGTAGTTATCAATGCATCTTGATTACATGTCTAATCAATTTCAAAAGTTGTGTAGGTCTGGAGATAAGGCTACCTGAACCCAGGCACCAAAGTAGCACTGTGAATCCCCACTTCACACTAGAGTGGCTCACAACCACATGGCTTCAAACTCTCAGAGAGCAGGGTGGGCGCTAGGACTGTATGATGGTAGGAGTTGGCCACACCTCTGGTCAGTAAGGGAGCATGTGGAAAATGAAGGAATTGCACTCTTCCTGTCACAAATGTGAATCTGCTCTGGCAGGCTACCTTCTGCTGTCAGAACTGCTCACAAAAGTTCAAGATAGTTGTGCCTTCTCTGGTTGGCTGTTCACCATTCAATCTTTCTCTCTCACTATCCCTGCTCAGTTTCTTTTCTTTTCTTTCCTGTGAAGATCAGGGTTCCAGGATTTTCATCTGTGTGTTTCATTTGGTCTTTAGTATCCTTGTTGTAGAAGGTCTGTATAGAGTGTTTTCTGAGTCCGGCATCTTAAAGGAAACCTCTTCCATCTTCTTTTGATGCTTCAACGGAGAAAAGATTGAAGTAGTCAAGGACTTCATCTTCTTGGATCAACCATCAACACTCATGGAAGCAGTAGTCAAGAAATCAAACGATGTATTGCATTAGGAAAATCTGTTGCACAAGGCCTTTCTAATGTGTTGATGAGCAAAGATGTCAGCTTGAGGACTAAGGTGTGCCTGACCCAGGCCATGGTATTTTCAATAACCTCATATGCATGCAAAA